CTGTGTCCCTTATTTGTACCTGCGGAGCTGCTGGCTGCTTTCTCCCTTTCTCCAGGGGCTGTGGACTCAGCACCTCCACCTGGCACACCACAGAGTTCTCACAGCCAGTGTTCCAGCACTGTCCAAGTTCCCAGGCCGAGTTAATTCTTCCTTCCAAAGAAAAAAAACACACTTTGATACTTTTATTCCTCTTCAGAAGCCCTTTTGTGGCCTGAGTAATTAAAAGGAAATGGGAACAGAAAGATCTCCCCTCTTTACAGTACTTTTTGCATCTTACTGTTTCCTTTATTGAAGTTCACAGCGACTGGAAAGCGAGTTTGGGTTTTGTTTGCTTTTTTTTTCCTTTTTTTTTTTTTTAAACTTAAGCCAAAGCCTTTCAGCCACTGGGCATTCAGTAAAGGACCTCTCTGAGGCAGCTGTCAAGACCGGAACTAAAGGTTTCCAAAGAAAAATGGAGGGGAAGGGGAGCTGCTAGCGCTCTTTGCTCTGCAGTGAATGTGGAGCCTCTTTTATGTCTAGGGCCAAGGGGGGAGGAGGAGAAGGGAGTGTGTGAGCAAGCTCTAATTTAATAAAGAGAAAGGCCTATTGGGTCCTGCACCTGGTGAAAAAGAGCCGAGCATGCTTTAATTATGGGCTATTGTTGGGGAGCCTTTGGTGGGTGTGAAACTGCTGAAATGTGGAGCTATTCAAATAGAGGTCAGGCCTGAGACCTGGGCGCACAATGATTAACAAGGCTGTGAGCATTCAAGCTCAGCCAGCCAGAAAGAATAGGAAATTGGCAACAGGGGCTGGGAGAGGAGTTTGAATACAAAGAGAGCCTGGCCAAAATACCCCTCTTTTTTTCCCCCTCTCTCTCCGTTTTCACTCATTTGTTAAAAAGGTTTTTATTCCTCCTTTCTAACACTAAACCTTTGAGTTGTCTCTGGATGAACAAGCAATACCATTTTCTTTACCTTTTTCAAGAAAACACAATGTGTGGCAGTCAATTAATAAAAGTGTGTGTCAGAGAGCTCCTACAGGCTGTTCCCACTTGTCTGTCTGTGCCATGGGAAAGGCTTTGCTGGTCCAAAGCCCCGTAGCCCATGGTGGAACTGAAGAGGAGAAATGTCTGAGAAGGGATTTGCCCTTCAGAAAACAAACAGAACAAGGGGAATTGGCTTGGCAACCACAGGGAAAACGTAGAAACTTAGCTCCAAGAGGATGTATTTGCCCCACTCAGCACTGAAAACACCAGCACATCAAAGCGGCTCTCCTGGACTTGTCTGTTATGCTACCACAGCATTATGTACACCCACACCCCATGGGGATGCTGGGTTTGTATCCATCCCGTTGGCACAGACCCACAGATCACCCTGAGGTCCCCAGCGATGCTGGCTGAGGCCAGGGTTCCCCAGGGACTCAGGATTCAGGTCTCACGCTGGAGCCAGCTGAGAAGCGGGGATTGTGGCTTTTGGCCATCTCCTTTCACATCTTTCATTCACACACCAAAGCCGAGAAACAAGCAAAGACTGCAGCCAGCTGAGGTTCTGAGAAGTCTGAGCCCCATCCTGGCTGGGGAAAACCATCCCAATACCAAAAAGGTGGGATTTTAAAAATGTCTGTTCTCTTGCTGGTTTTATTGTATATTTGTGCTGCACGGTGCAGAAGCAGCACTGTGATGCCCGTGTCTGGAATGCTGCAAAATGCAGCGGGCTTTGATCTGGAAATAGTTTTCTTTTTTGGTCTTTATCTATTTAAACTGGAAATATTCTGATAATAATCTTGCAAAGGTGTGAAAGGAGTACCTGGGGGTTATCTGGATGGTTTAGTTTGCTTTGTTTCTGGTTTTTTGCTAGGTCCTAAATCAGAGAGATGTGACAAAACCAACAAAGCCTTATTTATTTTTTTCTTTCTTTTTACTTACCATCAGAAATGATGAATTCCTGTCTGCGTTGCTGGGTATTCATTGCTAGCTGGAATTGAAGCTAGGAGGGAAGGATTTTTAAGCCAACTGTTTAAACAGCTTTTGCGGATCTGTGTTTGTTCTGTGTGCTTGTTTTTCTTCAGACCTCTTTGACTCCTGTAATTGATGGTCACTTTGAAAGCCAAAAGAAGCTAAGTCTGAAAGAGGAATTCTTACTCATTTTTTTTTAAAGTGGTTTTATAGAGAGTTAGGCTTGCATAGGGATGACGGTGCTTTTGCTGAAGAGCTTTCAAGTTCATTGCCAGAAAAAAATGCGGCTTCATAGAAAATGCACCAAATCATCTTCCTAAGATATAGCTATAGGCAAATACACTTATACATTGGACTAGCCAAAGTTATCTTAATTCACAGTGTCTTAATTCACATTTAAAGACAACTGTATCTTACAGTTTCGTTTTGGGACTTTGCTTTCTTTTCCTCCATTTCTTTGGATGCTTAGAATTAGAAAAGGACTCAAGCCTCCTTGTAGAAAAGCAGCCATCTGCTACTGCTGCTGTCCCAGGAAACAGTTTCAGCTGAGGAAAGCCAGGGCTCGTTTTGGATTGCACCATCTCAGCGTGGGTCAGTGTGGGAAAAGCATTCGGTGCTGCTTCGCTGCAGGACGCAGCTTTTTCTGGTCACTGTCAGGAGAAAATGGGAAGCTTTTCATGGGGCAATCTCAACCTTTATTTGGTTTGCTTTTAACAGTGAGCCTAGGACCAAGACATGGATGCTGAGCTCTCTCTTGTTCTCTTCCTAGGGAACTGGACCACAACGACATCTCGGGCACAATAGAAGACACCAACGGAGCCTTTACAGGCCTGGAAAACCTGAGCAAGCTGTGAGTATCCCTGGGGGGGAAGTTCCACAAAGCAGTTGTCATGTGTGCCTGTGTGGGGGTGGGACCCCAACGTCACCTTCCTCCCTTTGGAACGAGATAAAAATCAACACAAAATCTGAGATGTAGTAGTTTTGCAGGCTCACTGTGAGAGTGCAGATGTGGTTATCAAACACTTGTGTTTTTCAGCAGAAATGAGGAGATTATAGCTCTTTTAAGACAGTGCCACGTATGTTCAGAGACACAGGAGTGAGAAACTCAAGTTGTTTCCACCTCTAAGATTCAGCACAACTGTTCCTCGCTTCTAAAAGCAAACAGCAGCAAAAAGACCCCTTGCAGTCTTCAGCAAAGCACTGGTTGGTGCAGCAAATAACAATAAACAGAAGAGAAAAATCTCCCCATTTCCTGTTACAACAGAGGATTGAAACAGGATTCGTTTCTGTGGGATACTCTGAGAGTGATCTTTTGGGCTTGCTTCCATGTGCAGCGACAATAAAAGGCACCATGGGGCACGGGCTCTTAAAGAGATAAAAGAAACCTAAGGCAAGCATGCGCCTTGCAAATGTTTATAGCTTGCTTGGCCTGCACAAGTATTTTCACATTGCTCTGTGCTTGTTCGTCTTCCATTTGAAATCGGCTGTATAAATCAGCCCTGTCAGAGAGCTCTCTGATGGCTTGTGACAAATCAAGAGCCTTTCTAATCATTACCTCTTGCCTTTGTTGAAGTTCTCAGCACTCCCCCATCGCGCTGTCTCTGATGCTGGGATGGCACAGCCAGAGGTGCAGTAAAAGTACCTCGATGGATAGCAGATGGCTGGAATGAATCCTGGCAGGCGGTATATTGTCACCATCTCATTAGGGGCTCCTGGGGGACTGGGAAGAGCCGTGGCAGGATTTGTGGGGACAGAGAGTAAAATGTTGAAGTCACAGACATAGAGGGCATCTGATTGTTACTGAGGGGATCCAAGGAGAGGAGAGCCAAGCTGTAGCTGTAGGTAAAGTGAGGCAGAAGGCAGAGGAGGACTTAAAGGACCAGGGGAGCCAGGCAGGGAGGTGGAGGAAATGTGGGAAAGAGAGAGGCCAGTAGGAATCTCTGCACGTGGAGCTGGGAAATCTTCCCATGAGTTGCCAGAAGAAAGGCAGAGGAGCAGATGTGGTGGGTGGGAGAGTCCTTGGCTGCTGTTGCTGAAGTTTTTAGTTTGTCTGAATGAACCATTGACACCACGTGAGTGGGCTGAAGGGTGGTGGGAGCAGAGGCTTTGACCTGAGGGATTTGCAGGCTGCAGCATTGCGAGTCTGTAGCGCTGCTTTGACAAGGGAGAGGAGATGGAGGAAAGGAGCAGAGTGAGCTGTCCTGGTGGAACATTGACCATAGGGCATCTGTCCAACGTGGCACGGGAGCAAAAGCAGCAGTCTCAAGTGACTGGGATATATTAGAATTGCTGGGTGCAGCTAACAGGAGGAAACAGCATGGAGGGAAAAAGTTCAGCAAAAGGATTGGCTCAGCAGCCAGGAGAAACGAGCACGGATGAGTTGTGGGGGTCAGGCAGAGGCCAGGAGGGACAGCGAGGAGCAGGAGGAAGGAAGGGAGCAGAGGCAGCCTGCGGGGTGGTGCAGGTTGTGTGTTTAAGGCTCTGAGCAGAGCGGCTGTCGCTCCGCTGTGACACAGCCATGGTCTGAGCTGATGTTTATCATCCGGCACAAGAAATGGCTTCAAAAGGTGGCCGGTTTTGTCTGCCAGTAGCACAGGGTGCGGCAAGGGCTTGCGCAAATCTGAAGGAGCCAGGTTTGCATCTTTTTTCACGTTGTTGACCTCTGTCTTTTGTTGCTCATGGACGTGGGCCAGCTCTGTCTGGCTGAAGGCAGGGAAGGATGTGTGTCCATAGTTTCTGGGGGGATTACAGTGAATTTCATAGCCTGGAAGAGCATGTGGATCACATTGGGTTTAGGCAGACAGGAGTGGTTTGATTACCCAGCAGAGCAAACCTGCTGTGGGACAGACAGGTTGCTGGGATCTGCCTGAGAGCAAGGCTTGAAAACCCTCAGAATATGAGATTATTTCATTATATTTTGTGAGGCCTTTTGGGGACACTTGGGAGTGGTCACTTTTAAAGGGATCTGCTCAGATCTGGTTTAGCTCATCAGCACATAAATCCCAAACTTGTAATTTCATCTAAGGCTGAAGTGAGTATCGTTCTTGCTGGCAGGGTTTTTTAATAAATAAAGTAAAATATCAGCCTTTCCAGCAAACGTTTCACTGTGTGATTTAGGGTCTGTGTTTAAACCCTCAACCAGCTTTAAATGCATTAGCATACAAAAAATAAATGGGCACTTCAGAGGAGACCCTCCAATGAATTAATAATCACCTCAGCTCTGCGGAGAGTGCCTTAAAAGCTGTTTCCCTTTGATCTGGCACGGATTAGCCTCTGAAAAGATTTAGCGCAGAGAGGGTTGTTTGCTGAAATGAAGGTGTTAAACTGAGAGGTGGGGAGGCCAGTCACTTTAGCCTTCTCTGAATTATATATGAAGCTCTCCAGGATGGAGAGCACATGCCTAAATTAAAATGTTGCTTCAAGAAAGGGGGAGCCGAGAGGCACCGAAGCATAAAAAGCATCAGTGGAATCGCTGGGGAGCAAGGAGTTTCCTAATTATTCAAGCTGCTAAACGTAACCGGTTTTTTGATGGCTCACTCAGCGACTGAGATCTTCCTGCAGGTGCAAAACTGGCTGGAGGAGAAAATGCTGCTTTCTAATGAATTGCGTGCCTAGCGTGTAATTAGGCTTGTGCAATCACCGGGAGAGCGTGCTCGTGCCCGGCTCTGCCGATGGTGGAGCGGCGCTTGTGGCCGGCAGCAGGCAGCCTAATTGTGGGGCTGCAAGCCGCCGTGTTGGCATTCCAGAGAGCCACAGCCCTTTGAAAGGGGCCGCTGGGTCCAAACCATTTTGGAATTGGAGGAGTGGTTGGTTGAGGTTTGAAAAGCGTGATGATTTTCATGAGTTTGCTGGGGCATGGCGTTATTAACAGTGTGTTGGGTATTTCTCCACGTATATAGCCATAAAATTGTATGCATCTATACCAGTGGTGTTTACCTTGTGTGTTCGCATCCCCAGATGAACTGCACAGATACGTAAATAGATTAAATGGGTATCTCTAGTTTTCAAAGTCTGAGATCCGCTGTAAACAATGAACAGAAACCTCCAGTTACCAAACTCAGGCTCAGTATAACACCCTCATTCAGGAATATGGCTCCAGAAATCAGTGTGTATGGATGCAGCCATACGACCACAGTTTGCATATAGTAAATTATTTACTGTATTAATAATTCTAATGGATTTTTCAAAGCCTTCTTTAACACAACATCCCTTTTACCAAATGATGGCGCACGTGATTGCACATATCCTTTGGTGCTTGGGGTATTTCACCCACAGCTCTCATGCAGTAAGTAGGACCTCTGATACCCTGGTTTTGGTGCTGTAATGAGGAGCTCAGTAAAGCTCACTGTAGATATTTCAAATGATGCTGTCGATAAAGCAAGTTGCAGCATGGAGCCTCTATCATCCACCAGCACGCCTACAATAGTGGTTTTTTATTCTCATCTCCAATCAAATAATTAATGAAGGGACACAACTGTGAAAATTCATTGGTGCTTTTTTACCAAGTTAACTCTGCCCATAAGAAAGGACCCTTCTTCCTTTTGCCCCTTGAAATGACCACTCAGCTATTATTTACTGCTTCATATTACCCTGCAGTTGTATTTATGATAGCCAAGGAAGGAGGTCAGCACTTGCTCTGGTTAGCTGCTGTATAAATGTGCAGCCAAGAGACAGCCCTCATGTGTGGATGTCCGCTCAGGCCAAGCAGCAGTGAATAAATCACCACTCTTGTCTATCTGAGAAGAAGTCAGAAAGGAAAAGTGTGGCAGGGAGAGACCAAAATCTTGTTAAACTGCCATTGCACTTAATCCTGTTCGCAGCCAGCCTGCAAAGAATAGAGGGGACCTTCTGTTACTCAGCAAGCTGGTTTCCAAGCACTGGAGCAAACTTGCCTTTTTACGTGATACGGCACATTCCCTTTAGTGCTGTCATCACTATTAAATTTGAATACAGATAAAAGGATTTAATTTCAGGAGTGGGAAAGCGACTGTACTTCAGCCCTCTTAATCTCCATGCAGTTCAGATTTCCTGGGACTTACACTGAGCGCGTATATCAGATAAAGCCGCACTAATTGTGTTCCTCCTTTTTCTGCCCCCCTCTCCCCATTTTCTCTCTGTTTATCTGGCGCTGGATGTTTGGAAACTGCAGAACTCTGTTTGGAAACAAGATCAAGTCGGTGGCCAAGAAAGCGTTCTCAGGGTTGGAGGCCCTGGAGCACCTGTGAGTAACCCACCATGCCTCGGCGTTTGGGAAAGGGGGGTCTGCCAAAAGTAGCTGCTTGAGAGATCTGCTAGCAATTTAATAGCGTCTTTGTAAACTGAGTAGCCAGCCCATTTGTGGGGGCCACCTGCTTCCTTCTCATTATAAGTCCGCCTCAACTTTGGCCTTTTTTTGTGCCAGGAACAACGTTATAGAACATATGGCAAATCTGCATGCTCTTAATTTTTTTATTTGTTCTTGGATAAATATCATCCTGACTTGCACATGCTTCTTTGCGGACTGTTAGCAGTGAAAAGATGCTATTATTTCAGATGTAGCTCGCTCTCCTCCCCTGCCCCTGCTTCCTCCTAAATCTGGGCTCTGGCAGTGACACGTGTTGCAGTGACTGCGTATGATGCAGGCACCGAAAGTCCCCATTCAGCACCGCTGCCTTAGAGCGATTTGCAAGAAGTAAATTTTGGCTGCCGCTAGGTAGTTTTTGTCCTGTGTCCCAAGGCTGATGAGTCCAGCAGTGACTCATGAGTAACTTCCTTTTGCATTAACGCAAGTTGAAGTGTATGTGATTTTGCTCGAGATGTTTTATTGGCTGTTGAGCATATGAAATGTTTTGACCATTGAGAGCGCACTGAAGGGTTAGGGGTACGTTCCCGGATAAAGGTTCTCTATTAATGCTCTGCTTAGACTTCCTCTGCAAGCAGAGCTTGTCTGTCCTCCACTTCACATAGTGAACATACAGCCTGCATCTGATGCTGTCCTTTTTCAGAGGACAAGTGAATTTTTTGATCAGCAGTAGTTGTGAGGGAAGCTTTTAAGAATACCTTCTTTTGGAAACATTGCAATGTTTTTTTGAACATGGTAGGATCCTCTGAAAGTCACTTTCAAATAACTTGCCAGATGCCGCTCAGTGCAAGTATTTGCTTTCTTTATGTTTGCTGAAGGTCCAGCCTGGGATACGACATTCCTGACTATCTTTGGGTATCGAAGAGGCTGAGGAATTTCTGAGCTATGGACAGTGGAGGTGGCTGAGGCTAAGAAAGAGTAGTGAAAAGATGATGTATGGAATGACTTAGTGGTTTATTCCCGTAATTTTTGTTGGTTGACTATTTTTTGGCAATACTTATTCAATATTAAAGCGTTCTGTGGAAAACCTTTTCTATGAGCTGCAAGTGCATGTGGCCTTATCGAGGAGCTGCCAGATCACCTGCTACTGGAGTCATTGCTTGAATGTGAACAGATTCTGTCACGGCCATGGCATCTCTTTTGTTCACACTGCCTGTGGTTGTGCTCTGCAGGAACCTCGGGGACAACGCCATCCGCTCCATTCAAGCAGACGCGTTTGCCAAGATGAAGAGCCTGCGGCAGCTGTAAGTCATCGAACTGCACACACCGTTCAGGAGGCAGGGATCCTTCCTGCCCTGGATGTTGTTTCCAGTGCGGTATTATTCGCATTATCACTCGTTTGTTTCCTCTCCCCTCTGTCCTCCTCTGCAGGGTATTTTTACACGAGTAGATGTCGCAGGAACATCTTGCATGTAACAGTGAGTGAAATCAGATCGCTGGAAAAGGTTATTCCAGCAGGTTTCCATCTGTGCAGTTATTCATCTCCGCTCAGGAAGTCCAACCCTGGCACTGTTCGCTGTCTCTCCTTCTCACACTTGCACTGATTTAATTCCCAGTGGCCCATCTGCTCCTTTACTGTACCTATGTTTAGGGTTCACATACAGTACTGACATTTCAGCGATAAGCACCATTTGAACTGGATCCACTTGTCGTCCAGTCTTCTGGTGTAAAAATATGGAAGTGTTACCGGAGCTGCTGCCTGTGCTCCGGGCTGGGGCTCTGCACTGTTATCAGACACTGTTTCCAGTCTTGCCTGGTTTCCTTTTCTCCTCTTCTCCATAAATATTTAATCTGCTGTCAGTGCATTGCTACATTCTGGAGCAGTGCAATGTCTGTGGATCAAGAAATCGCTCATTTTGGTGTTGGGGCAGGTTCAGATTGTTCTTCCTGATGTTGGAAATGGGAATCTGATGGTTGGTGTTAGCAGTAACGTTTAATACCAGTGACTGGGGAATGAGAAAGATGAACGTTGTGTATCTGTTGTTTGTTTCACCACCTTATCTTTTGCACTGACTTCTGAAACAAAATTGAGGCGGAAGACTGATCTTATTAGAGAAGAGTCTGTGGGATCCCAGATATGGATCTTTATACCATGGAGAAGGTGGCTTTCAGACAGGGGATATACACGTGCAGAATGCATTGCTCTGAAGTCTTACATACCAAGGGGTCTCTTGGAGCTGCCCCAGCAAGCAGCAGGTTAACGCCATCGCGTGTATTAGGGACTGCCCATCTTCCTAGGACAGCAAAGTGGACAACTTTGGAAAATCAGATCCCTGTGTTCCCTCATTCCTTCCCTCTCCAGTCCATTTCTTTCTTTGCCCCTTTCCTGGCTACTTTGACTTCAGGATTTCCTGAGATTATCAGGTAGAAAAATGGGAGGAGATTTCCATCTTCCTGTATCACCTACATCATTGTTACCTCCTGTGCTGGAGTTGGGATTCTGCTCTGCTCCTGACATCCTGCTCTTGCACAACTTTTAGTTTTGCGTGGCAGGAGTTCTCTGTTGGGGGAGATTTTCCCAGTTTCAGAGGCATCCTCACAATCAACTGAGGGATCAGACTGGGTTTTCCTAGGATCTCGGACAAAACTGGACCAAAGTCTGAATTCCCTGTTGGTGTAGGCTTGCAGTTCTTCACTGACCTCAGAGCTATGCAGAGCCACAGTTTGACCCTGAATATTTTAAAAAAAAGTAATCCTGACACTCCCTTTTTCTTTGCCCCTTTGTCTATTACACAAGGTGCAAAGTTACTGTTAGGGTGCTGAGAAAGGTTTTTGTTTCGCTTTCCAAACTAGTCACTGTTTGTATTGGGTTTACACAGATTTCTTTGGTAATTTCTCTTCCGCTGCTGCTGTTACCAGTACAGGCATCAGCTACACCTTGAGATGCTGGTCTGTGGAGCTTGGAGGAGGCAGACAGGGGCCACTCCACTTCCTCCCCTGGTGTTGGCCACTGAGGGAGCTGAAGGTCATACAGCAGGAACTTGGCATCCCCTCGCTTCAGTCATTAAGTCCTGAATTCAGTCCCCACCAACGATGCTGAGAGGCAGAGAAGGAGCACACGTGGTATTAGATAGGAGAAATGGGAGCAGGACAGGCTGAACTTGTGCCTCCACTGTGTGTCTCCTTTGTAGATGATCTGCCTCAGTTTACCTCACGTCAGCCAGGATGACATTGCTTGCCTGCTCCTGAGGATCGCTCTGGGAGTTGGTTAATAAATACAAGGCACCAGGGAGCGTCACTGGAGCACAGGAGTGGGTTGCTCTACGTGGAGATGAAATGCTGTTTAAACGTGTGATGTATTTAACATCATTGGTGCCTTGAGGACAACCCTGCAGTCCTTTCTTGCCTTCCACCCATGCTGGGGAGGGAGGAATGTGACTGATGTGACTGGGAGCTTTCCAGCTCCTCTCCGTGCGGGACTCACCGCGGGCTCGTGTTGGTTTTGTTTCCCTGCAGCCACATAACCAGCGACAGCTTCCTCTGCGACTGCCAGCTGAAGTGGTTGCCCCAGTGGCTGGTTGAGAAAGAGCTGCAGTCCTTCGTGGTGGCCACCTGCGCCCATCCTGAGTCACTGAAAAGCAAAAGCATTTTTGCCGTCCTGCCAGAAAGTTTTGTGTGTGGTAAGTCCTGCCTGCGTGTTTTGAGGTTGTGTGGAGGGTAGGACTCACTTGGGAAACATTTGCTTTGACTGCTAGCGTGTTATTACGAGAGGGTTTCTGTTTTGTTTTGTTATTCAGTGGGATCAAAGGAAGCCCAAGCCTGCATTTTAAAAATTTGTCATTGGCTACAATTTATTTCCCACCAAAACCACACGGCTCATTGCTTGCATCTCATGTATTCCTGACAGGGCTCCCTGTGTATTAAATCAAAAGGGGCTGATGCTTGTTCCAGTTCCAAATGGGGCTGCAGAGACTTCCCCGGTCCTCTCGGTTTGATGCTACCAAGACTGTGGCTATAAGTTTTTCACTCTGCGGTGGTTTGAGCTTCTCCTGTGGCTTTGTGTCCTTCGCTCGTCTTTTGTCCTTCTTGGAAATAACAAAGGCTTAAAAGAAAAGCAGAGCATCTCTCCATCACAGCTCCCTTTTTGGGGCCAGTAAGGCATTACACACAAGTCAACCAATGACTAAGAGTTGCGTTATAATCTCTTTTTTCCTCCTATAGTTGCTTTTTCTTCTAAATAGCCCTTACTGCTGCCTTTCCACCCAGACACTGCACTTGAGCTGTGGTTGCAATGCAGCTTTACTTAAAACTCAGCACACACAAATATCGACCACATCTCCTGCAGAGAAAAGAAGTGTAAATGATCAGCGGAGCCCAAAATGATGCTGCTTGTGCATCCAGCTTTTGGGCAAAGAAAGGCCTGGTTTGGTAAGCCAAACCCAGGCAATGTGGATCCTGGGTGGAGCTGCACATGGCTGTTTAATGAGGGAAAAACGAGCTTTTGAAAACACCATTTAACGGAGTGGAATGCATGACTTGCACTGAACACGGAGCAAGAGCTTTGTTCCAGCTGCCGTCCCATGTCCCTCTCGATCCCGAGCGGGAGGGCTCTGCCTAGGTGGCCTCTGAGCAAGCCTGGGAGGTTTGCTGCGTTCATCTGGAGATCGTGACGGCTCCATCCCCACAGCAACATCACAAAGCGAAGACAGCTTGGTTTCTCCAGTGCCTGCCAAGGCCTCCAGGCAGTAGTACTCCTGGTTCCAGAGGCCTGGCTGTTTAATTAAACCTTAGTCAAATATTAAATTACACCATTTGTAGAAATCTAATAAATGAATCTGCTTGGAGCCTTGCTAAAACTAACAATCTTCAGGGCAGAGAGAGGGTGTGCAAAGCTTTCCACCCCGGACGGGTGACAGGCAAATACAGCTGCTTCTGCTCTGACAGTGTGTGCTGCCATCACCTTCTTCATGAGCATTTGTCCCTAGAGGTTGCATTTGCAGCCCTTTAAGTGTCCTCCTGCTTCATGCTCATGCAGGCCTAGAGGTGAAGTTTTAGTTCGATATTGCTCTTCACACATGGGTTGTACAAGGAAGGATGTTTTCTTTAGACCACAGTATCTTTCTGAGGTTCAGTGACATTGGTGAAGAGAGCCAGGCATCTTCTGGGTGTTGGAGGTCACTGAGTGGCCACCTCAGTCCATTACAGGAGCCAAAGGAATGAGAGGCTTAGAGCAGCCGCTCAGTGGAGTTGTGCATGGTACATCTGCACTGCAGAGCGAGTCCCAGAGGTGCTTTGCAAGATGAAGGCAGATGTGCAATTGTGTCTTTCACTTACTGCTCGTTTCTCATTGCATCTCATTGCTTGCTCCAGTCTCTCCTCCTGGTCCCGCACTAACTGTGCCTGCTGTTCTCTCTCAGATGACTTCCCCAAGCCGCAGATCATCATGCAGCCTGAGACAACAGTGGCCGTCCTTGGCAAGGATATCCGCTTCACTTGCTCGGCTGCCAGCAGCAGCAGCTCTCCCATGATGTTTGCATGGAAGAAAGACAACGAGATGCTGCACAATGCTGAGATTGAGAACGTCACCCACATGCGGGCGAAGGATGGCGAGGTGATGGAGTACACCACCATTCTGCACCTCCGGCACGTCACCTTCGCCCACGAAGGGCGTTACCAGTGTATCATCACCAACCACTTTGGCTCTACCTACTCCAACAAGGCCCGACTCACAGTTAACGGTGAGTAGGAAGCTGCTTTCTCATTCCTTTCTTCAGACCGAGCTGGTACAATTCTCTGGGACTCACTTTTCACAGAGTATGAGGAGTTGGAAGGGACCTGGAAAGCTCCCCCAGTCCAACCCCTGCCAGAGCAGGATCACCAGAGCAGTCACACAGGAACATGGCCAGGGCTTTGGGTGTCTCCAGACAAGGAGACTCCACAACCTCTCTGGGCAGCCTGGGCCATGCTCTGCCACCCTCACACTGACAAAGTTTCTCCTCATCTTCAGGTTGAACCTCCTGTGCTGCAGCTTGGGACCATTGCCCCTTGTCCTGGCATTGGATATCCCAGAGCAGAGCCTGGCTCCTTCCTCCTGACACTTTTGGCAGGCAGCTTTTCCTGAGGGTCCATTCCTGATGGCGAGGAGCTCCTGACCTCTCCACAGCAGCTCCTTACATCTCAGTGGGTGCTGAGAAGTTCTATGTGAGGCGCACACCCCAGGCTTGTGATTGTTGCCAAGCATTCAGCACCTTCTTAATGCCTTTGGCACTAGGGTCTTTGAGCAAATGAAAATACAAAAGGGTACAAAGAAGAGGGACTGCAGTGATTGAAAGTTCTCTGTAGGACTGATAATGGGGTTTGTTTTCAGATTAATCACAGAAGAAAATTAGCTTTTATCCCAACTCTGATGATCCTGAGTAGGGGGTGTTGGACACCACAGCTGCGTGCTGTAGAAACAGGGTTCATCCCCAGCAGTTCAGATGTATCCTGCAAAAGCAGCTTGCCATCCTCTTGCCCGTGGGTAATTACCACGTCCATCTCCTGCCTAGGAAGGAAACAGAGCTGCCCAGATGAAGTGTTTTTCCCAGAAGATGGTGTTTTTCCCATGGAATTGCTGATTCCTCCTTCTTGTTTTTCCTTCCCAGTGTTGCCCTCATTTATCAAAACTCCCCACGACGTCACCAGCAGAACAGGGACCATGGTACGGCTGGAGTGCGCCGCTGAGGGACCCCCCCCCCCGCAGATCGCCTGGCAGAAAGATGGGGGCACCGACTTCCCCGCGGCCCGAGAGCGCCGCATGCATGTGATGCCCGACGATGACGTCTTCTTCATCACGGATGTGAAGATCGAAGACACGGGTGTCTACAGCTGCACGGCACAGAACTCTGCAGGGTCTGTGCTTGCAAACGCCACCCTGACTGTACTGGGTAAGATGCGTTAGTGCCCTGAGAGAGAAGTGGTCTAGAAGTGGGAACTGGAAGGGATTTGCTGTTTGAGCTCTTCAGCGGTTGCGGATGCTGTACTGTGTATTTGTCTGCAGGAACATCACTTACATTCAGGACTGTTAAAAGAAATCTGTTATGCTATCCCCAATAATTAATTTCTGTGTTTATTCCCCTGCAGAGACACCATCGTTGATTCATCCACTGGAAGACCACGTGGTGTCCGTAGGTGAGACTGTGGCTCTTCAGTGCAAAGCCACGGGGAGCCCAACTCCCCGCATCACCTGGCTGAAAGGGGACCAGCCCCTCATCGTGACAGAAAGGCACCACTTTGCCTCAGGCAACCAGCTGCTGATCGTCAGGAACGTTGTCTTGGAGGATGCTGGGAAATACACCTGTGAAATGTCCAACACGCTGGGGACGGAGCGCGCACACAGCCACGTGAGCATCTTACAGTCCCTTGGCTGTCGAAAGGACCGCACCACCGTGGGGATCATCACCATTGCCGTGGTGTGTAGCATCGTGCTGACGTCTCTGGTCTGGGTCTGCATCATCTACCAGACCAGGAAGAAGAGTGAGGAATACAGCGTGACCAACACAGGTAGCTCCAGTCTCCTGCTAAGGCTTTCTCTAACCTTTTCTGCTGCCTGAATGGGCACATCAGGGAGCCAGAGTCACACTGGAAAAGCAGTTGTGGTTATCTCAGTGGTCCTCTTGGTTCACATTTCTCCCCTTGGCTTGCTCTCGAGAAAGGTCTTTGGTCTTTTCCACTTGGCTGTTGCCTGGGTCTTTTGGTTTTCCATGACCATAAATGATAACTCTTGAGACATTCTGGGTTATGTCTGTGATGCTGAGAACATGTCTTCCTTCTTGGGAATCTCTATTTTCAAAGACTTTGTATTCAAAGCATGAAAAATTAGACTTTGAAGCTGGAATTCCTTTTTCCACGTTGCCTGTATGAGCTGTCATAGCCCTGCTGATGAAGGGTATCCCTCACTTCTTAGGGCAAGCAGTAGTGTTTATTGCTTCCTCCTGATGCTCAAAGGGATAATTTGGTGCTGAAATAAGTGTTACAGTGAGAACAAGCTCTCCTGTCCTCAGTGTTACACAGCTTCTGAGCTGAAGTATGGAGGAAGCAGCCTAAGGCTTCCCCACCCCGCTGGGATTTGCAGCCTTCCTATATTAGATATACCATGAGAGGGGGTTTTAGAGACACAGGCTAGGTAGGAAGTCTTGGATACCAAGTGTGATGTGTCCAGTGGGGTTTTTTGGTATGACAAGGGAAACTGAAATTGCCTGATACAAAACGGAGACAGCCAAGGATAGCAAAGGGGCTGCACTTACTTACTTGCCTGCTTAAGTGAATCCAAGGCCCTGTTCTCCAGAAGTCTGTTACTGATGACTTTGGGAGACCTGACTGGAGTCCCATGAGGTAGTCTGAATTTCACAGGAAAATGAAGGATTTACCTGTTCTGAAGAGACAGTTGCACTTCCACCTGCCTTATACTGACAATGCCAAATGCAAACGCCCAAAATGGCTTTATCAGCACTGTCTTAGAGCTGTGAGCTTTGAACAGTCAGGGCTTCTGAGGAGAGCGGAGTATTGAGGCAGTTCAGTTTCTCCATTGCAGAAAATACCAATTCTAGGTCTGCTCCTGAGTCCCTCTTAAAAATGTGACTTTACACGTGTTTGAAAACAGAAGCCTTTGTATCCTGCTGGGAACTGATGTTTCTCTGCTCCCATGGCTCTAGATGAGACTATTGTGCCTCCTGACGTGCCGAGCTATTTGTCTTCACAAGGGACCCTTTCTGACCGGCAGGAAGCGGTCGCCCGCGCAGAAAACCACCACCCGAACGGGCACATAGACAGCAACGGTGAGAGCCGGGTTAATTCTCTTTTCTGGAGTTCTGTCGCTGAACTTGAGCTGAAGAGGGAGAAATCACAGTACAAAGTACTTCTGTGCCTGTTTGGGGTTATCTGAAGATCTCAGTCATGTAATTCCCGAGCTGCTGCGGTGATGCAGAGCAGGGATCTCACTTCCCAGAGCCGTCCTCTTCCAGAGCAGCAGTGTTCATACATGCAGGCTGCTGCAGAAACCGCTCCCTCGGGCCCCAAGGACTAGTTTTTAGCTAATTTTGGATTAGTTCTTTGGCACCAGAGTTACCCATGGTTAAGCTCTACTAGAAAATACATTAGCATTGCCTGTCCCTGCCTTCAGGCTTCGAAATTAAATGCTGGGATTTCACAGTGTTTAAACCCAGCGTGTTAAGAAGACGTTAAGCATTCTGAACCGAGATTTGTCTGTGATCATACAGCATTTATTCTGTTAAACATCAGCTTAAAATTATCTATTGTCGCCATGGCTGGTCTTCCTCCCTTTTGCCGATTTTTCAGTAGAAATAAGACTAACAGGTCGTTCAGCTGCGAGCAGATGGTTGTAATCTTTAGCCAGATGGCTGGTTTGTTACAGGTATGTGTCAGACCGATGCTGGAAGGTGTCCAGATGTGGAAGCTCCCAGTGGAGGCTGCAGACAGCCCAAGCTGTGTATGGGCTACACTAAAGACGCGTGGAAAACCGAAGAGGTGGCTGACGGCATGCTTGTTCCAGATAAGACAGGTACAAACCCCATCAGTCTGGACAGGTATTTTGTGTTTGAACAGATCAGAAAGTCAGGCAGCATTCAGACAAGAACTTGCTACCTTCAGAAAATAAAGCCCAGTGTTTCTCAAGTGTGGGCACAGTAAATTGACTTTGTCCTGCATGCTTTGATCCCCTATCTTGGACAGTTTGCATCGAGGAACTGTCAGAAAGAGGAGGACTAATGCTCCTCATCGCCATTGCTCGCAGCTGCCTGATCAGTCTTTGATTTGAGCATGTTCAAGCTGAAGGTGTAAAAGTTTCTGTGCTCCTTAAAGGGGCTGTGAACTTCAAAGCTCAGCTTTTTTTTTCTTTTTTTTAATTTAAAAAATTTAGAGGTTGTTTTGGGCACTACACCTGCCCCTGCTCTTTGCCAGTTTCTTGGGTGTTACACTCACAGGTTCCTATTTTCGGGATGTATTTTCTGTTCTCATGCTGTGTGGTAACATCCACAGAAAAACAGCCAGGAGAAACTAAAGTTAAATAATGGCAAGTTGCTGAGTGCTCTAAGGAAGTGAACTTTCAACACTGAGAAACTCCTTCCTGCGTCCTGCCCTGAATTCTGCTCATCTGTTGTTACCACCAATAGCAATAAAGTATCTTGAGAGAACAGTATGAGTTGACAGCAATCCCTGTAAAGCAGCAACACAAAAATAAGGAAGGGAACTTTGGTATTTTAAAGCAGGTACAGGAAAGTTCCACTTTCTATTTCTACTGTAAGAAAGTCTGGAAAAAGAAAGAAATGCAGTTGTCCATGTGTGGTTGGTGAGTGGTTCCCACACTGCAGATGGGCAGATGGACTGAACGGAGCTGCCTTGCTGGGTGCTGACATCTTCCAGCTGCTTCATCTCCATTTCTTCTCTCCCGTCAGGCTATGGCCTGCCCGTGGTGTGCACGGACTGCAGCGGCAGCACGGACAGCATCAACGTCCACATCTACCCCAAGGAGGCGGAGCTCTACTCCGAGAGCCTTAAGACTGTAGTTGACACCTACCCCAACACACTGAGCAAGGAGCGAAACAGGAAGAGGGGTGCAGGCACCGGCCTTCCTCACCCTCATCCTCAGCAGTGCAACGGGATCCAGAGGATGGAAACAGACGGGACCCACTACCCCAGCAACCACGACAGAATAAGACCTGCGAGCGCGACCAGCCCGCTGCTGGCAGACACACACGGTATGTGTTTCCTTGGAGGGGGTTTTTTGTCCCCAGATGCGATACAATCTCATCTGGGATCTATCAGAGCCTTGTTTTCTACCCTCAGCTTTTTTGACCGGCTCAAGGGCATGAATGATGGTGGTAGGGTTGATTTTAGGAGGAGCACTGGCGGGCTGAGCATCACCTCATCTTGATTTCAGTAAAGCATTTGACACCATCTCCCATAGCATCCTCACAGCTAAACTGAGGAAGTGTGGTCTGGATGATCAGGTAGTGAGGTGGACTGTGAACTGGAGGAAGGAAAGAAGTCAGAAAGGGACCTGGGGGTGTTGGTGGACAGCAGGATGACCATGAGCCAGCAATGTGCCCTTGAGCCAAGAAGGCCAATGCCATCCTGGGGTGTATGAGAAGGGGTGGTTGTAGGGCAGAGAGGTTCTCCTTCCCCTCTGCTCTGCCCTCCTCAGACCACATCTGCAATATTGTGTTCAGTTCTTGGCCCTCAGGTCAAGAAGGACAGGAACTGCTTGAAAGAGTCCAGCAGGGACACAAAGATGATGGAGGGAGTGGAGCATCTCCTGCTGAGGAGCGGCTGAGGGAGCTGGGGCTCTTTATCTTGGAGCAGAGGAGACTGAGGGGTGCCCTCATTCATGGGGATCAATTTGGAAAGGGTGAGTGTCAGGAGGAAGGAGCCAGGCTCTGCTCTGTGATGTCCAATGCCAGGACAAGGGGCAATGGTCCCAAGCTGGAGCATAGAAGGTTCAAGCTGAAGATGAGGACAAACTTTGTCAGCGTGAGGGTGGCAGAGCATGGCCCAGGCTGCCCAGAGAGGTTGTGGAGTGTCCTTGTCTGGAGACACCCAAAGCCCTGGCCGTGTTGCTGTGTGACTGCTCTGGTGATCCTGCTCTGGCAGGGGTTGGACTGGGGGAGCTTTCCAGGTCCCTTCCAACTCCTGACATTCTGTGATTCTAACCACACTGGCTCTTTGGTTTATTGCAGGCTCCTCGCAAACAGCATCAAAGCCTTCAGAGCTCAACAACCTAAACTTGGTGAGAGCTTCACCAGCAGGAGGGTCACTAAAGCAACTGAATGTGCTTCCCGAAATTGCCCCGACGCTACTGGATTTGCAGGGCGAAGCGGAGGTGAAGCAGGCTCTCCTGTGCAATGGCCACGCAGCCCAGCCCTGCGACACTGGTCACGAGCTGAAGCCGCCGAGCAGATCTCTGGACTGAGCGGACAGACTGCCATGTGCAAATTAACAAACACCCTGTTATTTTTTTAATTATTTTTGTTTTGCACAGAGTATATAGGCTACTTACTTCTACCTCAAATCTTGAACTGGTGACCTGTCAAAGGCAAACAGCTGAGGTATGAGAAACAAGCTTGTATGGGGAACAAACTCCTGTTCGAGCGTCATCTGTTTGTACATAGTTTAAAACTTCCCTGAGAAGTATGAAGCGTTCAAAAGTTGACTTGCATATGAAGCACATAAATGCAAGGGATTATTGTGTAAAGAGAAAAAAGTATTTGATACAATTGTACATAAGAGTTTTCATATA